TATTTATAAGTTCTTTTTCGGTTATAGCTGCAAGAAACATTGAGTCTGTGTTTACTTTCATATTTTCATTAAATTGTCCAACTGGGATGTCTCGAATTTCACCTGCTAAATTTGGTCCAATATTAAAAAAAATTAATTGAAGCTATCTATTGCTAATTCCATATTACATTTGTTTCCATGTGCATCTCAAAAATAGTGTGGATATCCTGTCTTTGTGGTTTTGTATTTAATCAAACCATTCAATATGTCCCATGTTCTTTGTAGATTATTTTTTGTTATCATATAATATCTTCCTATAGTACAGTCTTTTACTGTGTCTTATTATATTAGTTAATTTATTTTTTGTATATCTTATATCGTTGTTCTGCTTCTTTAGTTTTGGAATTGATAAATTTTTTTATAAAGATAATTTATCTTTTTACAAGCATTTAATATTCCTTTTGTAAGCCAAGGACATCTAGATTTATTTTTCTTGGAGCATTTTATAATGGGACAGAATTATATAAGGAATCAAAAATTTCTAAAAAGGAGTTACATGCTTTGTCCACATCGGTCTCTCTATAAATCGAACTCCAATCCTGTGATGACAAACTATTATTGAAAGTATTCCTTTGTTTTTATTCTTTTGTAGGTGACCATGTCAAGTTCTGTGTCTTTCTTTACTTCACACCCAGTAATGGTAAAAATGGGCAAATGGTCAGTAATATCAGATATGAAGAGACCACTGATTACATCATTTGCCATATCATTAGTAAAGATATTATCAATACTTTTGGCACTGTGTGTTGTTATTCTACTTGGTTTGGTGATTACAGGATAAAATGACATGCTATACATTGTATTAATGAAAGCATCAGTTGTTTTAAGTTTGGTTGGGTTCAACAAATCTATATTGAAGTCACCACATATGTATGTTGGTTTTTTGTTCACTGTAGAAAAAATATTCTCCATCCTTTCTTGAAAGACGTCCATATTCGAACCGGGTGGCCGTTATATACAACTTACAATAATGTTTTCTTTCTTTTCATTAAGAATTTCCACCGTAAAACATTCCATTATGTCATCCAAAGCTAATGACGTGCTTTTTCACCATAAACTTTACTGTTTTATGGATGTATCCCACCTCCTGTTTTATTTTTCCTGTTTAAATATTCAAGATTATAATCATCTACATGGAAATTAACTCCCTTTTTCTTATTGAACCAAGTTTCAGAGATGGCAATTACACTAAAAGGGTGAACATAATGTTGCAGGTATTCATTTCTAGAATTAAAAAGTTTATACCGGTACATGCTTCTGCTATTAAAGTGTATGATTGAGAATTTGCCTTCAGTATAGATGCTGTTGTTGAAATGCTCTTGTGGGTAATACGCACAACTTTTCTTGATAGAGACAAGAAGATTATTATCTGGGTCTATTTCATTTCCTAAATAGCTTGTATTGAATTCTGTATACACAGAAACCTCCAGTTCCATCCCTTCTAAGTCAGATGTCCTCTGCATAAGTTCATTGATCTCATTACTCATGGAGTCCGTCTGCTTGAGGCATCATGCATGAACAGACACATAGGCCGATGTTAAGCTATAAGGCTAGTTCCACATCATCAATACTTATCAAGTTCTTGTATGCGTCTCACCACCACTACTTTTGCTTCTTCAGGACTTCCATTGAGTTTAATAAAGCTTTAACAATTTGTCACCCAGGTATGTTGGATCTTCTGCTGCTGTTTTTTCAGGTATCTAGCTTTCCTGGCAATGTCAGCATTTTTCTTTGTTAAGTGATCGTTTATGAAGACATTTGTTCCTTTCAGTTTACGTCCCTGTTTTAAGAGTGCCGTCTTGTTTTTTCTGTTCTCAAACCTCATTATGATGGCAGGATGTTCACTGTTCCTCCTGGGTGGCGGGTGACACTTCTCGATGTGATCCAGGTCCAACTTGATCCCTTTACTATGAAGGAAGGAGGCCACCTGTTGCTCCACTGATCTCTCCTCCTCTTCCCCGAGCTCCATGTTTTTTGGAGCTACAGCGCGAGCATAACTGCGCGGTTTTAGTGGAAGCCCCATAATGACCACTTCATTCATTTTAGTATACTGCTCCAGTTCGTCCACCCGCTGCTCCAGAGCCAGGATGCGTTTGTCTTTTTCCACATTCTGAAGGCGCAAGTTTCACCTCCTCCAGAAGATCTAGGATCTGCTTCTGTTGCGCTCTAACAGCAGTCACTTCCTCGGATACAAATTCGAGAGAATTTTTAAGGTCCTCGATCTCCTCTGTCGAAGGAACTTTTTTCTGAGCCACTCCGTGCTGGTTAATTAGAACTTGCCAGTAGAGCTGTCAGCTGGTCCTGGTGACTTTTACAGTTTTACTGAGAAAACCACACTGACCTTTAAGCATTTGACACCAGAGATGTCCTATGACGTGACTACGCTGAGTTGTAACCATAGTAACAGCAACAGAGACTCATAGCTAAGAGTCAATGTCCTAAGAAGAAAGCCTTTTAACCTTTATATTTTAACCTTAATTTAACCTTTTTCCAGTGTTTCCTCTGTGGGAGCCCTCTGCCCGGGGGCGGTGGTCGGCTGTGGTGGCCTGGGTGCTTTCCAGGTGTGCCTGGGTGGAGGTGGGGGTCTCCGCCCTCCCTCCCTGGGCGCCCTGTGTCGGTGCCTCGGCTGCTGCTGTGGACCTGCTGCTGTCGGGGAGGATGGCCCCCCGATGGCGTTTCCTTATCTTAGCTGGTCTGGCTCATCTGAACTCAGTCCATTGTGTTTTTTCCATGGAGGTGTGTGTGTGTGTGTGTGTGTGTGTGTGTGTGTGTGTGTGTGTGTGTGTGTGTGTGTGCATGTGTGGCGGAGGATGAGTGTTGTGAAAGGGTTTTTATTGTCAGACTTTTTTTAAAATTCTGGGGATGGGAGGGAATGTGGGTATGCGGGGCCTTTTTAATTTGTTAAGCACTTTGAGTTGCATGCTTTGTATGATTAAGTGCTATATTAATAAAGTTTGATTTGATTTGATGAGAAGAAGAAAGCTCCGCCTGACATTAAGATTTGGTTTCGTTCTCTCAGACTGTTGTCAATAACGATCAGATCGTCAAATTAAGTCGAACTCAGCCATCATCTTGAGAACCCATCAGAAGTTGTTCTCAGGCTTAATCAGAACTCTTTTTATTGGGTGGTGTGTAAACAGTAGGGGTCAACCGATATTGGTTTGTCTATTACCGATACCGATGCCGATAGGAGACATGGTCAGCCACTGGCCGGTATGTACGGCTGATTTTCATGGCCAATATCGAGACATTTCCCACCTTCATGCTAAAATCTCAATAATAATATCAGTGCACCAAATTTCTGAAGCTGAGTCAGTTTTGAACTCTGAATTTTTCTAACTGTTCAATCTTAACTTTGTGAAGTGCTCAGTGTTAAAGTCAGACACCAAAATAAAGTTAGTTTAGAGTATTAATGATGTTGTTAGTAAACGTAAAAATACATCTAAATTAAATTCTGCTACAGCACCAGGCTGCCTGACTTTAAATCTGCTTTATTGAGGATAAATATCGGCATCAGCCAATCAGGCCGATACGTACCATTTTCTATATATCAGCATCAGCCGATATATAGAAAATGGTACGTATCGGCCTGCTATATGGAGACATTCAACATGTTTGATTGTCTCTGTCTGACTTGGACAGCAAACAAGCGTGCAATCTGTTGAAGGTGATGTGTAGCCAATCAGAAAGTAAGGAGACAGAAACACACTCCTCCTCCACCATGTTTATTTACTCTGAAATCTTGCGTGTTTCTCAATGCCAAGGAACCTCGCCTTGATTTCTTGGTCCCGCCCCGGTTGCCTAGGAGATATGTTCTACTGAGGCGTGTGTTCTCCGTTTGTTAGCCGTTTAGCTAGCTGAGCGAGGATACATGGGAGGTGTCTTGTAGCCTAGCCTTGGTCAAAAATTACCCAGCATACACTGTGGTATTTTCAAAAGGACGGCGGATTAAAAGCCGGCAGCTACTCCGGGGGAAAATTTCAAGTTTAAAAGTAAGTCAGCTAATTTAAAATGTTTTTTTAGATCCAAAGAAGTTATCTATGGTTGGTTAGTAGCTTAGTAGTTGCAGCTTCGGTGGCTAGCGGGTAGTAACTCACTTATATTTTTAATTTAATAAACATATACACAATTTAAAAAGTAAAAGCCTCGTTATTTATTTATATTGAAACTAATACGTATAAAATATAACGTTATCTCCCGTGTCACGTGACGTTACGTGACCGCCGTGGAAGCCGCGGTCACGTGACGCAAGTCTGTTCCATTTAACCGTTTTCTTTGACCAAGGAAGGACCGTGTCCTCGTAAACAAGGCGCCTCAACATTGAGAAGCACCCCTTGTTTTAACTCATGAGATTTCCCAACTGAAGGGGGAATGTTTCTGTGTGTGGATTTTGCCGTGTTGCAGCACACCACACACTGCAGGACCAACACCGCCACAGCTGGGGTCTCTCACACGTTGAAAATGGTGAACCGGGCTTGACTGGAAATGCTAGTTATTCTGTCAGCATTTTATTTTCCTCACTCTGCTTAAATACTACAGCCTGTTATTTATAATGAGGAGTTTATTCTTTACTCTCCTCAGTTTATTTCTTCATTTGGGAAATTTGAGCGCAGAAAAAAAAATCTAACGATGCATTACTTGTGACGTTTAATGCGAAATAGAACCGAGACTCGAGCTGAAAGCCTGAATTAACACACATCTTAATCACATCGTAGAATCGGGCATCATCCTTTAGGTTATGTCGCTGCCCCGGTGGAACCCACTGACCTGAAGCATCTATAAAAATCAGAATGTACCTGCACAGGTAACCCCACAGGCTTCAGAAGCTGTTTCATTAATAGTTTTGGGCACACAAATTCTGCATCATCAGATGAGAAGGAAGCGGAAAAAGACCCAGAAAAAGCATAAAAGCAACAATGGATTCTTTTCCGACTGATGCAGACTCAGTTTGATCCACTCACCATCGTTTCTTTGCTGTTGATGGCTGAACCGGTGCATTTTGCAATGACTTTGTCTATGCATTTCTTGTGAATAGCAGCGTTGCACTCTAAAAGACAGAAAACACAGTTACACCCTGAAGGTGGACACCTACTCTGTGTGTGACTGTGGAAAAAAACGCGACACTCACGTCTGCACTGGTAGCCCTGCTTGTTAAGACCCCTGCAGTTGAAAAGAAGACATGAAGATGACTAACACCATAACGAGGAAAGTGGATCATTTGCAGGATCGAACTGTCTCAATCATACCAGACGAACTCTTTGCAGACGGAGCAGAAGGTCGGCTGAGGAAAAAACGTGGCGCTGAACTCGTGACGTTTGACAACGTGAACTTTGGCCTGCTTGATGGCACCGCGTCGCTGATGAAGGGTGAACAGACCGTCTCGGCCCCGATCAGACTCCGGGTCAGCGTCAGTCTGACCTGCAGTGTCTGAAACACAGCACGGCGCTGCTTCAGTGATCCGCCTTCACACCACGGTTTCAGACTCTCACCTTCTTCAGCAGAGTGAGAAGTGCTCGCTACGCATGCCTCTGTGAGTCAGCCATCTTTACCACGCCACGCTTCTCAGGATGTTTGAGCAAAATCACAAAACAAGACTGCTAATTCATCTAAAACACAAGCTCCTCATTTAAATCACACTGTCACACATCTGCATATCATTAGCTCAGGGAATTAGAACTGGGAGGTTGATGTTTATGTTAATAAATCTTCCCCAAATCCACTCAGCAGCACTGATGGGTAACGCAACACATCTGTTTTTATCAACTTCTGCAAACATCTGGATGTGGGAGGAAGTTCCTGACACACGGCGCTCGTCTTCTCAGCACCGATTTCCCGATCTGCTAAATATAGAGCAGTGAAAGGGCTTCTTCTCTGTAGCTGCTGGGAGTTCTCAGACCTTTGGCTTGATGTTAATGTCAGGAAAGTACCAGTGGAAAAAAATAAAGAGCTCAAATGACCAGTCACAATGCTTGGAGGCAGCAGGCGGGAGAAGGTCAAAGGTCTTATCTGCCATGTGAGAACACGTAGGATAAGGGAGGCTAGTCAACAGCGTGCAAACCCACTCACTATATTTCATCATTTGATCTAATTCCTTTGGATTCTTTTTCTATATTCCAAAACAAAAATCTCACACCAAAATTACGTCAGCTCTAATAATTTCACTGAATATGAATAAAACCAACATTTCGTTTGCATCGCTCACCACTTTTCTCCAGATAGTATTTGGCCTCCATCAGCAGGCGGCCCTGCGGCTTCATCTCCAGCTGGAACCAAACAAAATGCAAACGAATGAGAAAAATAACAGAGAACTTTAATCTAAAAGATAAGGATGTGGCTCATGCTGAGCTGAAACAGAGCCAGCAGCTGGCAAAAGAAAACACCCACAGAAGGAGTGAAGTGGAGCTGATTTTAGTCCTCTATTTACAATGTTTGTTTGATTCTGGGTTAGAAAGAGAAGACAGCTGCGGGAAGGCACCGAATGCCAAGCTCCACAGGAAAAGGCTTTACCGCTGACAGAATTTACTTTGGACTCTTGGTTAGGTGAGCTGTGCGATTGCTGACAATGTTGATTTTCCACAACCTTTATAGAGGTGCCTGACTCCTGTCTTCATCTGAAACATTATAGTTAGTGAGTGAGAATAGGAAGAGCAGTGGCAGCACTGTTGCCTCACAGCAAGAAGGTTGCAGGTTCAAGTCCCGTCTGTGGCCCCCTGGGTTCTCCCCCAGCACATGGGGGGTATTCCAGTTTCCTCCCACAGGCTAAAGTTGTTAGATTCAGATCACAGGCCACACATTTATGCAGATTATTGACGTGATTCTTCGTCCGACAATCCTAAAGATAAGTCTGACTTCTGTAACAGCTCTAACGGTTGAAGGTTTGCTGAATCTGTAGATTGAATTTGTCATGTGATCAGATCTGACGTCCCTCTTCCACACAACAGCAACAGAACACAACATTAATACACCGTTAGGAAAAGAAAAAACAGAAATAATTAAAGGCAACAACAACATCAGGCAACATTAAGCTGCTCACGAGCTAACTGACTCTAAGATATCATAAAACAAGAGAATTCATCAGGTTTTCTTGCCGTGTGTGGTGTGTTAAGAATGCTCTGGTCTGCTCAGAAGCACCTCTGTATCACTCAGATTAGCACGGCCTGAGCTATCACATTTACGCTGATGACTGTCGATTATATGCAGCAATGGATGAGGAGACTGCGGGCTCGCGATTGGCTGCATGTTTAGACGATGTGAAGGGCTGGCTGGCATCCAGTTTCTTAAAGTTAAATGAAAGGAAGACTGAGTTTATTGTTTTTGACCCCCGCAACCATCATGGCTCTCACCCTGTTTGTGACCTTTTAATGTTCACCCCCAAACAGTGCGTGACAAGTCTCGAGGTAAAGCTGGATGCTGAACTCTCAATGGCCCCACAGATAAACTCCGTAGTGAGGTCTTGCTTTTATCAGCTTCGCCGCCTGACTCACCTCAGACCAATCTTGGAACGGAGGCATTTTGAGTCAGTCATCCATGCCTTCATTACCTCTCGCCTGGACTATGCAAACACCCTCCTAGTCGGTGTTCCGGTCTCTGCCCTGAATCGGCTGCAGGTCGCCCAGAACGCTGCTGCCAGGTTCTTGACAAATACACACCGACGTACCCGTATTACCCCTGTCCTGACACATCTTCACTGGCTCCCTGTCATTCTCCGAGTACAGTTGAAGTTATTGACTTTTGTATTTAAAGCACTCAACGACCTGGCGCCTCCCCATCTCTCTGACCTGCTCACTCCCTATGTACCCACGTGCACGTTGAGGTTGGCTGACCTCCTGCTGCTGTGCACGCCCCGGATGAGATACAAATCGCGGGGTGAACGAGCATTTGCTGCCTCAAAGCTGTGGAACTCGGTACCCATTATAGTTGGGCAGGCTCCATCATTGGCGGGTTTTAAATCTCGTTTAAAGACCCACTTCTACGACGTGGCTTTCAGACGGTGACTCGTTTTAGTGTTTTATTGTGTTGTTGGTATTCCTCATGTTTTATCTGCTCTTGATCGGTATTTTTATCTTCTGCTTTAGTTGCTTAGAGTGGTTGTGTTTTGGTTTAGCCTGTGCCGCACTTTAGACAGCTCCCATGCTGCGTTTTAAACGTGCTGTATAAATAAACTATGGTATGGTATGGTATTATAAATCTGAGATATCGTTGGGTTGTCTGGGGGGGGGGGGTTAGATTCCAGCTAACCCCCCCCCCAGACAACTAGCCCCTAGGGGGCGTGAATAACCGGTTAAAGGCGTTTAGTAAAACGTGAATCCATACCTGTTCTGTGAATTGGCACAATAGAAATAAACTGAATTGGTTTCTGACCCCTGAATATTCCTGACAAGGTGTTAAAAAAGGATGCACTTTACATTTTCCTAAAATCGCTGTGTAGGTTGTTCACTAGAAGTTTAATTCTTGTCATTCAACAGTGAATCATCATCCTTGAGTCATTCGGTGTCCTTAGTTTCACAGGAAAAGGGAAGTCAAGGCAGATTTCCAGGTCTGAATAATCTCATGTTGTTGACAGATCTTGACATAGTGGATTAAACCTCTTTATGTCTGTGCAGTGCAGATAAAGTGATGATGTGTTTGCTTTTAATACCTAAAATGAGGATTACCCTCTTTTCATCATTTGACCTTTTGATCCCAACGTGAGCAAACCCATCTGGATTTATCAAACGTGTTAAAAACTCAGATTCTGCTGCACCAACCCAGATCTCCAGCTTGCCGTTCTCCTTCTTGCAGCGCGTGGCGAGTGAGTCCAAAGCCACTGTGGCCTCCGACTTCAGCTCTGCCGTCCGGTCTTTCACCATCACGTGCATGATGCGTCCGGGGTGCACGTGGGCATCGAAGGTGGTGCTCCACGGTGGGTACATGGTGGGCTTCTTCTGCTTGTACACTTGGCCTTTGTCTGCAACGAGAAAGCTCGTCCTTACTGTCAGAACTCAGCAAAAGGCAGGAATTAAGATTTCACTTTCACTTCAGTAAAACCTACAGAGACAAACATGAAAGAAATCTAAATCCAAAGACACAAATATTCTGTTTCTACTTCTGTAAAAACAAGCACAAATAAAATCTAGGTAACACTTTAGTTTAGGGAACACAAATTAACCATTAATTAGCTGCCAATTAATATGCATATTAGTGGACTACTAAGTCTGAACTAGTCATTATTAAGCACTTATTAACAGCTTATTACTAATGCTACAATTCTAACATTAACTGGCCACAAATTAGGATTTTTTTTTTATCACAATAAGCCATTCATAATGGGTTGTTAACTGAAAGTAAATGGTTTGTTGCTGATTATAACGCACATGCTAATTAGATCAAATCAATATGTGGCTTTTAAAGAAGTAATTCAGGGGGAATCATTATTCTGCATTAATAACCAAAAATATTATGTTCTGGTATTATGTACATGAACAACAAACTTCACATGACTTCCTATCTCTGGCTCCTTCAAAGGCAGTTCGAAATCTGGGTGTTGTGATTGATGAACACCTGGCCTTTAAAGATCATGTTGCCTCTGTTGCTCGTTCATGCCGCTTTGCGCTGTATAACATACGAAAGATCAGACCATACCTAACACAACATGCCACCCAGCTCCTGGTGCAAGCTACTGTCATCTCCCGCCTCGATTACTGCAATGCCCTTCTAACTGGTCTTCCAGGCTGTACTGTGAGACCTCTTCAAATGGTCCAGAACGCAGCGGCGCGTCTGGTCTTCAATCAGCCAAAAAGAGCACACGTCACCCCTCTGTTCATTGAGCTCCACTGGCTACCGCTAGCAGCACGCATCAAATTCAAATTGCTAACACTAGCATACAAAGTCCGAGATGGTACGGCTCCCATCTACCTGAATCCTCTTGCAAAGGCTTACGTCTCGGCCCGGCCGCTCCGGTCATCACAGGATGGTCGGCTAGCAGTGCCTACACCACGCTCAGGACAATCCAGACTCTTCTCATGCATCGTTCCACAAATGTGGAATGACCTTCCAAGCACCACCAGAACTGCGGCTTCCTTTTCGACTTTCAAGAAACTCCTGAAGACCCTGCTCTTCAGAGAGCATCTTCTAAACTAGCACCCTCCCTGCACCCGTCCCCCCTCTCTACTGTCCACTCCTTGTTCCCTCCTCTCCATGATTTATGTCAAGAAGTTGTTGTTATTGTTGTTTTTAACCTCAAGGGCAACATGCCGATTATACTTGTAAGTCGCTTTGGACAAAAGCGTCTGCTAAATACATAAACATAAACATAATAGAGCCACAATCAATTAACCACTTGAAAGCAAGAACATGTTCCCCATTCTAAAGTCAGATTGTGTTCATACCTAATTACTAGTAGTTCTGTATTAATTAACCACTGAAAGGCAAGAATATGTTCCCCTGAATTACTTCTTTAAAAGCCACATATTGATTTGAGCTAATTAGTACGTTAATCAGCAACAAACCATTTACTTTCAGTTAACAAACCATTATGAATGGCTTATTATTGTAAAACTCTTAATTCATGGCCTGTTAATGTTAGAATTACGGCATTAGTAATAAGCTGTTAATAAGTGCTTAATAATGACTAGTTCAGACTTGGTAGTTCACTAGGTTTTCTTAATTGGCAGCTAATTAATGGTTAATTTGTGTTCCCTAAACTTAAGTGTTACCGAGATTTTATATTCTGCTAAACAGAAACTGCCATAATTACAGGAGTGTTTTTCCATCAGTGTGGAAAAAAAGCAATAACTTGTCAAAAGGAGCAAACATCCCGCGAAATGTCGCCGTTTTACCTACAAGTGTTCGCATTATTACGAGATGTTAAACTTGTTTTGATGAGATGCTTAGTAATGTGCTTTATTATCTTTAAATAATAAAAGAAATCTTCTCTCTAATACAAGAGAATGTTCTTTATTTTTCCCTGCTCTGATATGCTTCTGCACAATTTGACCAAAACAACCAGCATGAGTTAAAAACGAAAAAAATATATAAATAAAAAGATTGTGTCCAGATTTGTTTAAAACAAAATTTTCACATTTTTTGCAGATTTGTTTAAAACAAAATTTTCACATCTTTTCCACTTGAAGGTGTGGAACACTGACATTTTTTTTGTTTTGTTATTTCTGATCATAACGGGTCACTCTGAGTTTTTCATTCAGGCTGAACATGAAAATAGTCTCCTACACCTTTCTCCTGCTTTAGCTTCTGATGAAACTCTAGGATTAGAGAAGCCCGACAGATCCACGTCACACTGCCACTTAACATTCATGGACTCACGACGGGGAAGGCTGTTGTTGGTTTAGCGTCCAGGAAACAGCAGAGAACGTTTCAGCTAGTGGAAGCTAACGTTAGCATTAGCAACTCCAACACACAGCAGAACTCCTCCAGGCTTGTGTTATTTGTGGAGTTAAAACATCAACGTTGCAGAGCAAACAGAGTCGGTGGTAGAGTCATGCTGCTGTTAGCCAATCAGTGGAGAGATGTTCATATATCAGGAAGTAAGACTCCAAATCTTGTCGTGTTCTGCTCAACTCTGATGTGGCACTCTGCTAGTTCCTGAAACAGGTGCATCGTGGTAATTTTTTTATTTACTTCATGGCATTTAAACCAAATTATGAATGTAATTTATGAAAAACTTGTGTGGTCACGAGTCACAAGCTCATTCTGACACTTTGAAAATTCATCCATCAAACCAGTGACAGATAAACAGGGTTATAGCCCAGCAGCGTTTTTGGTCCGCTTACATAAAAGCCACATGGCCTCCCAGCACTGCAACAATAAAACCAGCTAAGCTCTTCCTCTCAAAGTGACCTGCGGGTTTCTCCATCATCGGCTCATCGCCTGCCCATCCATCAGCCCTGCCAGCTGCTGTCTGGTAAAGCGCTCAGAGAGAAGCCCTCTGTGCATCACACAGTAACCTTCACATGCAACATTCAAGATGTTTTGACCCAGAGTGTCATTTAGACTTCATTCACTTAAAAAAAAAGTTTGCTCTGCTCTTTTGAACATTCATAAACGGATGCGTTAAAAATAAAACTGAAAAGTACGTAATTAAGTAGCTATAAGAAAGTGTTCAGGTGAGTTTACGAGTAGTTAGGTGAGTAAGGAAGTTAGTAAGTAAACAAGTAAGTAGGACTTAGGAAGTGTGAGTCAATCCACCTGAAAACAACCCAAACAACTTTAGTGACTATGCCAGACCTGTGTGGTGCTGGAACTCAATATGCACAAAATCAACAATAAGTGTGGAATATGTGCATAAAACTTTCATTAAACCATTTTTAACCACTCCACAAAAAAACAAGGTTTCTTTTTAGCCATTATCTAAAAAGACCTTTTCAGGGCTCCTACAACTCTGTTTATGTGTAATCAAGTAATAACGATAATTAGGAAAGTTAAAGTCCCATTAGTCATCACACACTGGTAACATTCATATCTGCATTTGACCCATCCTCGTGGTGAGTGGTGAGCTGCAGCTGTGGCCACACTTGGAAACTATTTGGTGGTTTAACCCCCCAATCCAACCCATTAAAGCTGAGTGTTGCAAGGAGGCAATGGGTCTTTGGTATGGTCCAGCTGGGATTTGAAGTCCGATCTCCCAGTCCAAGGGCGGACTCTCTACCACTAGGCCACTGAGAGTACATTCATCCATTCATCTACTGCAATATTTATTCCATAGTTTGGCAGTGAGCTGGTATCTAACTCCAGGAGTCACTGGGCGAGAGGTGGGAGGACACCCTGGACTAGGGCTGGGCGACATGGTCTAAAATCAACATATTGAGGATTTTACCTCGATAACGATAAATGGACGATAACTACTGGTATACGCAGATACAAAGGTTGTCCACTAGATGGGGCTGTCACATGTATCACGTTGAGTCACATTTTTACGTGACTCAAGGCGGTACAGCTTCTTAACTCATTTGATGCCAGCCGTTTCCTGATCGCTAAAGCCCTTCGTTGCCAGCGTTTTTCACAGTTTTTACTGTTTTATTTTTAAGAGTGACAGAACGTTGCGTGCGAGGATGATGTCGATGCCAAAACAACCAAAACAAAGCGGAGCCTCACCTCTTGCATCAGGAAGAATCCGCGTGTTTCGAGCATTATCCGTTCTTTCATAATCCGTTGTTGAATTGTGATCGGCAGAAGCTTTTCCGGTTCGCACCTCACATTTTTTTTACAGGAACGGCCCAAAACGATCTCCTAACACATGGATTTTCTGCTTCCTGATCATGTGACGTGTGACGTACGCGGATGAAAATCGGCTTCAGAGCTGAGATGTTTGTTCTCACGGTGCGGGGGCTCGTCCGACGCCCACACAGTAAAAATGACTTTAGTCGTCACTGGCAATGAATGAGTTAAAGGGTCATGAGTGTTGCCACCCTACACACATCTTTTCATTTTTATTATCAAATTTATTGACATGGGAAAAATCATCTCGATAAGAGTCAGAAATTTCGATAACGATAAATTTTCGATTTGTTGCCCAGCCCTACCCTGGACTGGTCTCCAGTCCATCACAGGGACACATAAAGACAAACAACCACGCACACTCACACTTCCAATTAACCAAACATTGTTTTTCTAGAGCGAAGAACCTGAAGTACCCGACCTGTAGAAAATTCAAACTGTCATGTGGAGAACATGCTAGCTACACTGAAAGGTCGCAGCCACGATTCAAACCTGCAACCTTTTGTCTTAGCGGACAAAGGCCTTCCATCTGCACCTTCACACTGCCAAAAGTGAGTATAAAGATGAGCAAATAAATGAGTATAAATACATAAATATGGAGATAGGCAAGTGCATTGGTAATTAGTTGAATAGACTTGTAAGTTATTAAGTAATGTAACTAAGTACATAAGTGATTAGGTCAGTCCCAAAGTTAGTAGTTAAGAAGCTATGTAAGTAATTAACAAACAGCACAAA